TTTTGTGTTAGAGATTGTAGATGGGCGACTAGCGACTATGACACTGACTCCATTAATATTTGAGATCATGGCTATGAGGCAAGAATTTGACCCCGGGTTAGTTAAGTTGAAGGGGTGCGTCAAAGAGGGAAAATATACTGAATTCCATTTGGATGAGAGTGAGAGATTATTATTTCAAAACAAGTTGTGCATTTCAGACATTGAGGGGCTTAGACAGCAGATTCTGAAGGAGGCTCATGAGACACTATTTAGCATGCATCCTGGCTCGAATGAAGAAAGATGTTGCGAAGTTTGCTCAGTCATGGTTGACGTGTCGACAAGTTAAGGCTGAATATCAAAGACCATATGGAGAACTTCACCCGTCCAGATTCCGGAGGGAAAATGAGATGAGATATCCATGGACTTAATTATGCGTTTGCCGAAGACAACTGGAGGTTATGACACCATATGGGTTACAATGGACATATTGACTACATATGCTCACTTCATTCGAATTTCAGCAAGTATATCTTTTAATAAGTTGAAAAAAATTATGTATACGGGAGATTGTTAGATTGCATAGTGTCCCGGAAAGTATTATTTTGATAAATATTCAAGATTTATGTCTCACTTTTGGAAAGTATCAAGACTGCTTTTCATCAACAGATAGATGGCTAGACAGAGAGGTCAAATCAGATCTTACAGGATATGTTGTGGGCATGCGCACTAGATTTTCAAAGAGGATGAGCGAAATACCTTAGTCCGGCAGAGTTTGCTTATAATAATAGTTATCAAGCAACCATCGGCATGACTTCATATGAGACGTTGTACATAAGAATGTGCAGATCACCCATAACATGGTATGAGACTGGAGAGAAGAAGGTTCTGGAAGAGGAACTACAAAGAACGACTGAGTTGATTGATGAGACCTATAAAGCTATTAAAACCATCAGATGATAGAAGGCGCTGAATAAAGACAAAAGAGTTGATATTTTCTTGAGTGCAACTTTAGAATTAAATTGCATTCAAAATTGAAATAAAATAATAATAAATAATTGTACTTTAAGAGAATGAGGGTGCCGCCGAGGAAGCGGTCCAGTTCAACTGGTCGCCGACTCATTCTCCTATATGGGAGTAGGGGCGGATCTACATGTAAGTTAGAGTAAGCACAGGCATCACCTGAATAAATGTTATTAATGTTATTAGCCTATTTGGTTTTACTAGGAAATTAAAACTCTACTTGGGCATCAGGTCAATACTATCGAAACCCCCCTCAGGCTACACTTGTTTTTTAGCTTATTTTTTGAAGTGAATTTTGACAATAGGTGGCCGCTGGCTTCCTTTCATTTGAGAGTGGAATTTAATACTCTTTTTGACTGTATGGAATGGACTTCTTGGCCCAATACTTTTTTCTAATTTTAAATACTCCGTATTTCTAAATTACACATTCTATACAAAATACTAATTTTGGAGAGCAATAGCTTACCCTATTGGGTGCCTTTATCATATATTTATAATAAATGTAATTAGGGAAAATTACACACAAGTCTAGAGAGAATACATTATTATACCCCCTCAATCTGTGCAGGGGAAACAACGCGCAGATTGGAACGTAAAAACTCAAAACGCTGACTAGATAAATTTTTAGTAAATATATCAGCTAACTGGAGTTGTGTGGGAATATACTTAACAATAAGGTCCCCATGAGCTACTCTTTCCCGTACAAAATGATAATCAATCTTGATGTGCTTGCTGCGATCATGCTGAATTGGATTCACCGCCAAATATGAAGCCGAAACATTGTCACAATAAAGTTTGACTGGAGCCGAGATATAAATACCCATGTCAGCCAGAAGAGAACGAACAGAGAGTGTATCTTGAACAGTATAAGCTATGGCCCTATACTCTGCTTCAGTAGAGGATTTGGAGACAGTTGGTTGCTTCTTGGATCGCCATGAAATTAAATTGGAGCCAAGAAAAACCGCATAACCTGTAGTGGAACGAGAACTGTCTGGACAACCTGCCCAGTCGGCATCCGAATAAGCCATAAGAACATAAATATTTTTATCAGACCGAAGCCAAAGGCCGTGAGCTGCTGTTCCCTGTAAGTACCTGTAAATTCTCTTAACAGCTAATAAATGTGAGGTACGTGGAGCATGCATAAACTGAGATACCAGATGAACAACATAGGTAATGTCAGGTCTAGTTAAAATTAAATACTGAAGAGCTCCTACCATACTGCGGTACTCAGTAGAATCAGATAAAAGTTCACCATCTGTGAGGGACAGAGAGGTACGAGATGGGAGTGGGGTGCGAACCGGTTTGACGGTGTGAAGATGAAAACGATGTAGCAGATCCGAAATATATTTAGCTTGAGATATAAATAGACCAGTGGATGTACGGGTTGCCTGAATGCCCAAAAAATAATGAATATCTCCGAGATCTTTCATCACAAATTGGCGAGACAACATATGAATAACAGACTGAACAAAAGATAAAGAGGATCCTGTAATTAAAATATCATCCACATATAAGAGAATATATACTGTCTGAGACTGAGTACGATACAAAAACATGGAAGAATCAGACTTACTTTGAGAGAAACCATTGAAGCGATGAAACCAAGCTCGTGGAGCTTGTTTTAGACCATATAGAGCCTTGCGCAGGCGACACACATGATTAGGAAAAGAAGGATGAATGAACCCTTGGGGTTGACACATGTAAACTTCTTCAGTCAGAAAACCATGTAAGAAAGCATTTTTAACGTCAAGTTGACGAACAGACTACCCCAAAGAGACAGCAACAGAGAGAATGAGACGAACAGTAGTAGGTTTAACAACAGCACTAAAGGTTTCAGTAAAATCAATGCCAGCCTGTTGTTTAAAACCCTGAGCAACTAACCGAGCTTTATGACGCTCAATAGACCCATCAGATAAGTATTTTGTCTTATAAATCCACCTGCAACCAACCACATTTTTAGTCGATCACAAGGTACTAAATCCCATGTTCTATTAGCAATTAAAGCATTAAATTCATCAGCAATGGGTGCCCGCCAAATATCACTCTTATTAGCCTGAGAAAAACAAGTAGGATCATCCGAGGGAGAAAAAACACTTAAATTAAAAATGCTTTTCGGTTTAATGCAAGCCCTGGAGGCCAGAAAACGTGGGGCCAAAGCACTTGGAAGTAGTGTTTGCAAACAAAGCCTAACTCTCATTCACAATTACGGAGTATAATTTTGTTGGATTAGATTACACTTTTTTCCAGTTAACTATTCAATTGTATGTTTTATTTCAAAAATAAAATAGCATTATTTTGACATAGAAATGCATCATTTTTTATAAATGTAATGAAAATTTTACTCCGTAGTTTTTAATTTTTGAATAGATATAATTACTTATATTCAAAACTGCCTCATTTTATAGATGTGGAAGCTTTGAAAAGTGAGGATGTTTTTAATTAGCCAGATGAGACTAAACTAGTTTTAAATAGGGGATAAGGGTCAGTTTAGTCCTCGAAGTTGCAAAAAAGGAGTCAAATAAGTCCTTATATAGAAGATTCTGTCCGGAAGTGTCATTTGAGGTGGCTCCCGGTGGAATTTTTTGATGAAATTTTTTGAGCATTTTATTCATTAAGTCTAGTTTACTCATATCAAATTTCAGATAAAAATTCAATCGGGAAGACATTGAAATTAATTCTTGAAGATAATTGTGCCGTTAAAAGCGTAGTTATCTTCAAGAATTCATTTGAATGTCTTCCCGATTGAATGTTTAGCTGAAATTTGGTATGAGTAAACTAGACTTAATGAATAAGATGCTCAAAAAAAATTATTCAAAAATTCCACCGGGATCCACCTCAAATGGCACGTCCGGACATAATCTTATATATAAGGACTTATTTGACACCTTTTTTACAAGTTCGAGTACCAAACTGACCCTTTACTCTTTTAAATAGGTCAAATCAGACTGGCCCAGAACTCAATAGTTGTAAAATACTTTGGATGACCAGAATAGACAAATTGAGACTAGCCCATACTTCAATAAACATCTACTATACCAAATGAATTCAGATTAGATCATAACTGACTTTTGCAATATTTTCCCAAAATATTGCCACCAACTACTTATGAAAATAATTTTAACAACTATAGATTGTGGGCTTTCTTATATAGAAATACTTCAACATATTCCCTTTTTCATGGATTTTTATAATATTCTTAACGATATGTGGATTTACTTTAATAATTTCTTGATATAATTAATAATTGAATCATTATATTCAAATAGAGTTTTTTCCACTTTCGACCCCCAACTATTGTACTTGATTTCAACTTTTTCATTTTTAGTTCTTGACTAAAATTGGAAAAAATTAAAATCGGGTATCAAAAGTGACAATAACATAATATTCAAAGTATCAAAAGTGTCAAAAACTCATCAAGATAGTTTAAGGTGATAATTTTCTGCCAATGAGTACAATAGCTTTCCTCTTTAGGAGTCTTGTACTCTTGAAAAGGTAAAAGTGCACAAGTCCTGTCTATTCAATGCAGGACTCACATTTCACCATTCTTTTTTTAGTACTAAAAAATGTGATATATCTCTTTCTCCCTTTATAGCTAAAGCAAAATCATTTCAACTCTTCAAGTCCTTGTCAACTCATCCCTCTACTTCTCTCAATCTCCCTCCCTCTTACCTAGAGATTGCTCAAATGCCCCCTGTCAATTCCTTTAGTCACAAATAATTGAACTTTAGAGCATATTCACCATAACTGAACAAATAATATGCTGCAGGATTTTGATCATCATAATAAATACTAAAGTAAGTTATAACTCTGCTCACGGAGTATCTAATTCACTCCAAAATGGAAAATACCACCTCAAACACTAGAATAAATCAAGAGTTTTACAAAACACTAGAAGTCTACAACTCCAAAAGAGTTTTACATTTTGTACAACTGATCTCCTTGGCTACATTAAATCAAGAGAAAAGTTAGATTAGTTTCTTTGGGTAAGGGTTGTTTGGTACGGTAGAATCTGCCGAATTTTCCCAAAGGAAGTATTCTGCAAAATTGGTTTCAGGTCAATAAGTTGAAGATAGAGATGGCTGCCAAACTGACTCTAACCAGTCAAAGCGTTCACTTTCATCTGCGGTGCTACTTCAGGAACAACTTGCAGGGTAGATCATCTATTGGAGCTCAGAAGGCCTGAAAAAAAATAGCTACATTCCATCACTCCACATTTTAGAATAATAAAAATCACACCAAGCAGAAAAAATAGGTCAATGAGATTTCAAGTGTATATAGCTTTGTCTTTGTAGTTCTTTTTATCTCATTGTCTTTAATATGGTTCAGTTGATTAGGAATCCTCCTTAGAATATTTTAGATATATATTGTTTCCATATATATATATATATATATATATATATATATATATATATATATATATATATATATATATTGATATGTTTGTCAAGTATCCATGGATACGGCTGTACACAATATCAATCAAGTTAATGAAAAAATTTCATTATACTAAGTCCTCCATACAGCAAACAAAGTCATTCTTACTCCAACAACTTTTTAGTACCCAGACTTACCCCCACAAGAGGGTCAGCTTCAATTAATTCCACAAAGCATCAAGGTTATATATAAATTGTCTCAGTGGTGGACAAGAGCCTATTTCCTAAAATAGGTTATGGAGATAGATCCGTATCAAGAGAAAAATCTACGTGCACGAGGAGCACCTAGCATAGATGTGGGAACCATGCCGACAAATGGTAGTTCATGTTGGGTGTGTTTCGGAAAAGTAAAGAAAAATTAATCAATTAATTAAAAATTTAAAATTAATTTAAATGACAAAGAAAAACAAGAAAAGAGATGAAGCAAAAAATAGTCAAAGCTCGTGCAACGCACGAGCAACCGTTGCAAGAATCGTTTCCTAGGATACAATGACTAACGAGCAACCGTTTAAACACTTAAACGATTCTTCCGGCGAACGTGAACAAAGGCAGAACACAGAGGAAGATGCAGATGTTTTAGCTATGAAATACATGAAGGAAGTGTTGTGGGTATGCGAGTTGTGTTTTGTTGTAAATCACCTGCCAGCTACTTATAGGAAGGATTTGGAGGTGTGTTAATTGAGGTTTAATAGATATGAACGTTGGGAATCAATGTCCAGCTTGTTGGCATTGATTCGTCCAGAAAACCGTCCATTTATTGCAGTTGGGCATTTATGGTGTTGTAACGTCGCGCACGCAAGTCGCGCTTTTTGTTCTCCGATTTCGGGATTTGATTCGCACCCCGCGCGTGGAGAGATTCTTTACCCTAAGGAATCTTAACTCCTTAAGGGGGGTTTCCCTTTATAAAGGGTTCAAATTCCCTTGGTTTTCCGGTGTGGGAAAAAACCACACTAGAAACCCATCATTTTCCTAGTTTTCTCCATTCCAACGAGTGAACTTCAAGAATCAATTTCTCATTCACCCGTTATCCGTTTTGAGTGTACCATATATCGAATTGTAGCCCTAAGCAAGGAAAATCCGAAACCACTTGGACCCGACCCAAATCAGAAGTGGACCCCACCCAAAAAATTGCCCCAAAATGACCATTTAATGCAATTTACTAACACATTTTCCAACAGTTCATTGGAGTAAACCAAAGTTGAAATTCATGTGCTCTTTGTGAGTCTTAATCGGATCTAGGAACTTGTTTGAGTGTAGTGTACTCTAATATCATATCAAGATATGAAGTTAAGTGCTATAAAGCTAATGTGATAAGGTAGGTAGCCCAAGTTTATATATATTTTTATACATAAGTTTGAATTTATATTTGTATATTTCACCTATTTGAGATGGTTGTGCACTTGTGCAGCCATATGACTAGAGGCAACAATTAATCATTGGTCCTAAGAGAAAACACTATAACTGTGGATATCGAAAATCAAACCAAGTCAGGCAGATATGCATCTATAGCGTGGAATGGGGAGAATATACCATTATTTGATAACTCATTGCATAAAAGAATTTAATGCTAGAACCATGGGGAAGATAAATGACAAATTGAAATAATCAAATCTTCAAACTCTGAAAGGCGTCTTTACCATGAAATATTATAACAAAGAAGAACAGAACTGTAATTCCCATTGCCAAGACGTTAGCTTTAGCTGATGATTTTCCCTCTTTGTTTATTTTCCTCAATAGGCTTAGGCGTTCCAAGCTTTTATGCTTTCGTAATGTCATCTCAGAAATTTCTTTGATGAGTTTGATGTCAGCAGCATCCAATGAGGGACTTTTGGGAGGTCTGGGTGGTTTTGAAGGCTTTGGCTTTTTAAATTTCTCTTTAGCTGCTTTCTTCCCTTTAGGATTTCTTTTACTGTCCTTCACTTTGCTCGAATGAATATCTGTTAATTCTGCATTCTTAACAGAATTATCACACAAAATCTGCCCATATGAATGGCCACCTTCTTCACCTGAAATTGATCCATTTTTCAAATGCTCTACCGGCAAAGAATTCCAAGCTCTGTGCAAAAATATGCCGGGATTATCATCACTCAGATTCAAGATTTCACTTCCCCTACCATCACCTATCATCCCCCCACTCTCCAAATCAATATCTAAATTACCTCTTCTAGTTTCCATGTCATCCCCCATATAATCTCTGAGAACTAACTCTAGCTATCACACATCGCCATTTTGGTAATGTTACTAAGCAAGAGCGCAAGACAGGCATGCCATTCAAATATTCATGCACCTTGCTCCTTGTGACATCTCACTGTCTGCAACACTGTTACCAAAAATTTAAATTTGGTTAAATCAGGCTGTTTGAGCTGACTAAATAAAAAATGGAGTCTTATTCCACTTCTCTAGTCTTTTTAACCATTCCAAATGCAAACCCGGAAAAAATTTAGGCACTACTACACCAATATACATAGTGACTACTATAGAAATGAGACTCTTATACGATTCATAAAAAAGCTTTCTTTAACTTTCCTAGGTCTACATTGTATTATTCAAGATAAAGGAAATGAAACGATTTTGCAATTTTTAATTTCATCAACACGTCCATATGTGGTTGTATTCAAGGGAAAAACAAAAGGTCAAGTTATTTGATTTGAGAGTATGACACTCCCAAAAAAGTAAAATTCAAGCATCAAAATCATAATATAATGGAAATAGAATGTATTATGAAAAAATTGGGGCTTGGGATATGTTGTGCTTACTCTTTTTCCGAATTTGGAGAACGAAACAATGGAGGCATTTAAGGTCTAAGGAGTAGAGTTTAAAAGCAGAACCAATTCAGAAACTAGTACCTTAAATTCTCAAAAACTGTTCTTTATCATCAGGGAGTTCTTCTAAATTTATTTCCAAACACTCATTAACCTAATTCTCATCTTAGAGCTCCTTAAAGGAGCAGAATCAATTTGAAAATGATCACAATGATCTTCAAACACCCCAAAGCTTAAGGAAATTGAAAGTGAAAGACTGAAAGGTATGCTTCCATATCTTTTCGTGGGAATTTCCATATGAAAGTTCCAAAGAAACAAATGAATGGAAAAAGCATGCGGAAGAAAGTTCATGGAAAATATTTAATCAAACAACAAAAAACATGAACCCGCATAAATCATGTGCCGTTATGCGGACAATGCTACAAAAGTGAAACGAAAGGGTGTAGAATAGGGGAAAATATGACATATGTAGGCTGTAAATTGCAAAAACTTTCTTTTTCAATGGGAAAAGTGTATTAAAAGATTTATGAGAAGATTTCTTGACTTACGTTGTTTTGGTGGATAGGCCAATCCTGCTAAAATCAGAAGAAATTTGATAATTGTTTCCGTTTCATTCGATTTGAATGGGAGCTGCCATGATTCCTAGTTCGTGCAGCTTGGCCAAACGACGTTCAAGATTGTGAATCTCACGCCACCATTTTATTGGGCCTGGCGACTACTCGATTCTCAAATCATGCATTGCATAATACTTCTTGGGCCTGGGCTAGTACTCTTTTTTTTTTGAAAGACTAGTACTCAATTCTCAAATAATGCATCACCATTGATAGTACATACGAATTACGAAGTATGTTCCTCCCTCTGTCCCATTTTACTTATCATATTTTCTTTTTTAAATTGTCTCAAAATAAATGTTACATTTTTTATTGAAAAAAATATGTGGTGTATATCATTTTACATTGTTATAATTAAGTTTCAATCACAATGTTTACTTTTTCAACCACTTAATTAATAATTGTGCCAAATCAAGTAAGATACATAGAATGGGACGAAGGTAGTGCATATTAGGATGTTTTTTGGACTGTTTTCAGTCCCAAACCAAAATTGGACAGTTATACAGAGACCAGACGTTTATTAGACCAGACCAAACCAGATCAACAAATTTCATTCCAAAAGAAAACATCCTTGATATGGCCACGTTTAATAATTAGCTATTAGCTTATGGCTTTATTTGGCAATCCGCGGTTAGATATTACTCCTATTAGTTGGTTTCATACTGGTTTGATAAGAGAGAATTAAATTAGTTGTTTTGAATGATTAGTTATGTTGACTATTTGTAAATAGTTATTTCAAAAATTTCAGTTTTTATGATATAGGGGTGTTTGGATCCGATTCTTAAAATTGCTTCTGCTCCCTCAGGGAGCAGAAGCAGAAGCTGGAGTGTTTGGGTGAAAGTGCAGAAGTGATTCTGGTGCTCTTTTTTATTCTTAGAATAAGTCTTTTTAGAAGCTGGAGGTGACCAGCTTCTGAAAACTGATTCTGATTCTGCTTCGATCTGCTTTAAAAAAGAAGCAGAAGCAGAATCAGATCCAAACACCCCAAAAGATACTACGTATGTAAGGACATTATTGTATGTGTCCGGTTTTTGTTTTAATATAAATGTAAAAACGAATTAGAAAGAAAAAAGTGTTCTATCCAAAGAAAGGATTAAGTAGGTATCTTTATCTTTATATATATATATATATAAAGGGAACATGGTGGAAATCCAAATAGAAATCTATTTGGAGCCAAAAGAAGTGAAAAATTGTTGTCACTATTAATGAAGCATTACTTAATGAAGTCATATTAAGTGCTAACCTAATTAATGGTTGTAAGTTACAAATAAAACTTTAGAAAATTGTTGTCACTATTAATGAAGCATTACTTAGTGAAGCCATATTAAGTGACAACCTAATGAATTGTTGTAAACAAGTAACTATTTTAAACATCCTTTAAAATCACATTTTTTAATGATGTTTCCTTATTTTGAAATGATTTTTAGCATTTCCAGTTTTGTTTATGAGTCAAATTGGTTCAATGATATTGAATTATACAATTTTACGATTCAACTCGCGACTTTAACAACCTTGATATGTAGTTCTTATAAAACATACAGTGATTTTAACAATCTTAATCTGTAGCTTTTATAAAACATATATTGAGATGAATGAAGAGATATTACGGAGTATAAAATAAATATTTTCACTTTTTAGATGGAATATATTTAGAAACTTTAAAACACAACAAGATAGTAAAAAGTAATGTCATGTGTTGAAAAATCATCATAATTATAACTAAATAATACTCCATACTACATATGAGATTGTAATATGATAACAATTGTTATCGTCTTCATTAGACAATATATGTATGTGATGAAAGAATACTTATTTGGTAGTTTTATACTAATTGGTGTATCTCTAACAATTATCATACATGTATTCTAATATAATTTCATATCATGTTTGTATTTTTATACAATAAGTATGTATATACACATTACTCATGAAATAAATTATTTGTAAAAATAATTGATTTAATTTGTTCTCCGTGCAACGCACGGGTGGATTGACTACTGACTAGTTTAATAATAATAATAATAATAATAATAATAATAATAATAATAATAATAATAATAATAATAATAATAATAATAATAATAATAATAATAATAATAATAATAATAATAATAATAATAATAATAATAATAATAATAATAATAATAATAATAATAATAATAATAATAATAATAATAATAATAATAATAATAATAATAATAATAATAATAATAATAATAATAATAATAATAATAATAATAATAATAATAATAATAATAATAATAATAATAATAATAATAATAATAATAATAATAATAATAATAATAATAATAATAATAATAATAATAATAATAATAATAATAATAATAATAATAATAATAATACGAAGTATATCAACAAGCAAAGGAAAAACGCCGGTGTCGCTAGCGTTTACCAAACATAAATAAAAATGGTTGTTTAGTTGGTCAAACCAACTAAAAATGATCAAATATTTAAGCCGAGAAATGGTTGATGCATTTACCAAACATGGCCTGTAGTCTTATTGAGTATGATTCTCTCATGTTTGACCTAATTTTGTTTATGTATTATTATTTGAGTTTTGTTACAATGAAAATATACTCATACATTACTTATATAAACTATGTAAATACAAAAATGATGGTAAATTAGTTTTTATAATATTATTTGAATTTACGTAAAAAATGTTCCTCTCATGCAAAATGTCTCATACGTCTGTTTATGTAAGAGCATCTCCAATGCTACAATGTGCACGGTGTACATGTGGCATGAGAGAAATAGACACAAGAAATTAAATTTTTGACGTTTCTCTCTCCTTCTTTCCACGGTTTTATGTGTTTTTGGTAAGTTTTTCTCTGCAATGTCAACCATGGTGTCTACATCTAGACATTGTGCTTGACATTGTGGAGAAAAACTTACCAAAAACATATAAAACCGTTCAAATAAGGAAAGCGATATTCTATTTGTTATTTTTTAATTGGCTATTATTCATGTCACGTATGCACTGTTCACGTTTTTGCATTGGAGATGTTCTAAGATCAACATGTAGTAATTCGTGTTGCATCCTAACATACGTGCACTGAGATCCACACAATCCCCCCAAATTGCGACAATTATGTATAACTGTTTTTGTAAGGATAGTTTCACACAGAGTAATAAAATATCTAATACGTAACTCATTTTTAATTAAATTATCATGGTATATTTATTCACTTCCACTATTCTAAAAATCAGCCTAGTCGAACCGATTAATTGGTGCCTAAGCGCTAGGCTGCCCTAACTTTAGAGAACTAATCGATCTAGCCGACAAAAAAAAAACGGCCTAGTCAGCGCCTAGGTGTTAGAAGTCCCTCAATCGGCCGACCAACGTCTAGCGAGTTTTAGAATAATGATTACTTCAAAATTAACCTTTCACTTTCGAAACTTATAAATGGTAAGTGGTAAAGCTTTGGGATATACTAATGTCAAACTTCACATGCAAACTGCATACTAATGTCAAAAAGGATGTGCATTAAAAAGGATATACTTCATAAGTTATAATGATAGAACTTCATATTGATCAAATATGTTGGTGTTGCAGTTTAATAGTTTTTACCATTATGACATGAGTAATTCAGAGCCCGTTTGGTAGCACGAAAATCAGCTGTTTTGGCTGATTCTACTGAAATTTCTGAAGTTCTGGCTGAAGTGGCTGCATTGGCTGATTCTGCTGATTTAAGAAACAATTATTTTTAAAATATATTTTATTAATAAAATAAAGAAAAAAATATATGTAAAAATAGCTAAAATGGTCATCTACAGTAACTTCAGCCAAAACAGCCAGAAAAGTAACTCCAACCTTACTTTTTCTGCTTATTACACAACTCAGCGAACGAAAGTAAAAGTTACGTGTTTGGTGAAAAAGTTGCCTGATAAGCCGAAAAACAGTGCTGACAAACGACCTCTTAGAAGTTCATATACTACATTTTTGTAAGATGACATGTGCACTTTAGAAATACATATGCTACATCTTATCCTTATGACATATATGCATTATATACGGAAGATGATTTAAATGGTTAAAAACAGTACAACATTTTGCATACTATAATTGCAAGAACTTCGCATACATACAATATTGTAGAATTGATATGATACCGAAAATAAAAATGTTAAAATATAAAACATATCATAAAGATAATAAAAAAAATCCTGTATGAATTCAGATACCATGGCGATGAAGGATCTTCAATTCGATGAAAACAAAACAAAAAATAAGCCTACTTAACACATGAGAATGAGAATTAATGTTCTCTACTGGAGTTCATTGGTATGGCATTTGAATACCAAAACACCAATCACATATATATAATTAGATTTGAGATGGAGATGAAGATGAAATGAAGTTTTGATATCTTGGACATATGACATATTGATGGACAAATGTGACAGAATAGGAAATAACCGAAAGGATACATATTTTTTTCAAAACTAAAATAAAGAGACTAATAAGCTCTTAAATGTGTAATCTCACCAAGAAAGCATACCAGTTTCAATAGAGTTTTAAACCTAAGTAGTTTTTATTCTAGGTGAGTTTTGAAACACGTCGGCTCATCAATTAAAATAGATAGCTGTGATAATGAATTTGCATTTTGTAACTTAAGAAGACTTTGTATGTAATCATTAATATGTTATATGTATAAGAGTTTTTTCAAACATATCACTACGATATACTAGTATGGTCATTTAAGTTTAAAAATAGAACATAAATTACTATGATCAAATCACTACCATAGTCATTAATTACGTTTCTATAAACAATTCATATTTTAATCATAAATATGTAACTATTTCATATATATTGTTATCAATTTAAATTTAAACAATAAATTAAAGGGAAAATGGAAACTAATAATCCAACATTTTAGCGATCTTCTTTCAATAATCCCACTTTTTGATTATTCATGAATAATCCAACCTTTGCACCTCATCTTCCAAGCTGAGGTTGATGACCTACTATTCCAAGCTATTTTCTTATCTTTGCAAATCATTATACCATAAATCTCATCTTTCACAAAGATAATATTTTGCAAAGATAAGAAAATAACTTGGAATAGCAGGTCATTAACCGATCAGGGACCAACGAATGAAGATGGGGTGCAAAGGTTAGATTATTCATGAATAATCAAAAGGTGGGATTATTGAAAGAAGACCCCTAAAAGGTTGGATTATTAGTTTCTATTTTACCTAAATTAAAAGAAAGTCACCAGTTTGATATTTTAATAACTATGATACAAATAATATATCACACTCATATTAAAAAGCATATTTATAGCAAATCTTCATAATATCAAATGTGATCCAAGTATCTGACTAGCTCAGGCTTAAATAGGTTAGAACAAAATAATCAAAGTATCCAGATACAATGAGTTTAAGTCGTGTCTAACCAAATAAGTTTAAACGCGACTAATCATATCATTTCAACAGATCAAACAGGAAATTAGCTTAGAGTCCAATCAAACATGTGTTAACTCCATTTTAATTTTGAGAATCTAGAGCCCGAATTTTAATTCTTTTTTATACTTTGCTTGAAGGAGCTTAGAGCATCTCCAACGGTTGGCTAATTGTCCTCGTAACTTGACTAGCCACGTAAGCTTTTGTAGCAAAATTGAAATTAATATACTCCAATAGTTAGTTATAACCTTTTTTCTTCATTTATTATTTATAATGCTATATTTAATATTCTCCTTGCTCAAGCTAGTAGCTCATTTAGACTAATTAATTAGCTTTCTCAAGCAAAAGGAACCATTGGAGATGCTCTTATCTTGATGCATTTGCTAATTGCTATCCCCCCTACTCTGCTTTATGTCTCCCTCTTTTATATCAACAACCATGTTAACACATTTTTTGAAATTTATTGTTATGAATGTTTTTACTTAGATATATTTTAGTATAAGATCAGATCAAACTAAACCAAATTAGACTAGATCAGATCTATTCAGACTAAACTAAACTAGACCAGACTCGATCACACTTTGATAATTATAAAATACACAGAGAGTAGACATTTACGATACTAGACCATTTCACACTGAATCGAACCAAATCAGACTAGATGAAATCAATTAAGACCAGATCAGAAAATTTCAATCCAACTAAAAACATCATAACTTCATATCGGAATCAAGATTTTTTATGAATTGGCATAATGACATATACATATGTTTTACACAACTATGTACTCCTTTCTTTCCTTAAGACTTTGTCAAGTTTGACTAACACAAAGGTCGGAGAATAATAAAGTGAATTGCGTAATTCAGATTTGTGCAGATGAAAGAGAAGTAATAGGAACCACAAATTAATTGATTAAATATGACAAAGAGGTTAAGGAATGGAGGAAACATCTTTTAATGAGTAAGGTTTGATTAATGACTAAATACATTTAGATAACTAAGTATCCGTGCTAGGGATGGACTCGGGCCGGGCCAACCGGACCGGCCCGCTACTGTGCAGGCCCGGACCGGCCCGGTGAACCGGTTCGGTTCCGGTTCGGGCCTCCCGGCCCGGTGGTATACCGGTCCGGGCCCGGGCCTCCAGTTTAGTGAACCGGCCCGGCCGGGCCGGGCCCGGTTCGGGCCAGAATTTAATTCTTTTTTTTTTTTGAAATTTTTTTAAGTTTTGGGTTGGATTAGGTATTTTGGGCCATTTGAGGTGGTTTGGGGTGGAGGGGGAGGGGTAGGGGGTTAAATAAGAGAAGAAGAAGAAAAAAAAAAACATTCCGGGTGGCCCGGCCCGGCCCGGCCCGGTTCTGGCCCGGAACCGGAACCGGAACCGCCCACCACCGGTTCGGGCTCGGGCCTCCTTTTTCTGAACCGAGGCCCGGCCGGACCCAGGCCCGAACCGGGCCCGAACCGGAACCGGTCCACCCCTGATCCGTGCAATTGTGCAAAAGGTGGTTAAGACTTAAAGTTTTGCAGATTGAGCGTTTAATTGATTTTCCTTTCATAATTAACAATTTGTTCGAAACATGAACTGAACCAAACTAAAATCAATAAATTCCTTGAAGATAAACTAATAGCCAACCCTACATATATTTAACAGAACCTCATTTTTTTATACTAGTATATGTGAACACACATGTACAGAATTACAGATTGTGCACCCAATAGATTTTTCATAACCGACTTTTTGCAATGGCTCTTGAGCTCTTCCTCTTTGAAAGATACGTTAGTTTGAGGCTTTGAGCTCTACTAAAAAACTCTTCAGACAAAAAATTCAGTCCTTTTTAAGGGAAATCTATATTTATCATGACTAGGTATGCATTTAGCTTGGCCAGGATGCCAATAGAGCTATACCAAGCAATAAGCAACACCATAGCAAAAAATGTGACCCCCAGTCCAAGAACACATGACATCAATTCATTGACATTGCGCTTCGTGCTGGCTCTAGCATTGGACACAATGAGGGATTGTGTTTTCACACGCCCGACATGGAAAAAAATCAGAACACTGACCACAACTAATAAGTCAAGCCACATGCCACTCTATTTGGTCTGCTTCTTCAATGCTATTGTGGGGTTCAGGCCAATTGTCGTGTAAGCTTTGAACCGGTTTGATCGATCAACAGGGCCAACACAGGTCCTGTGGTTGACTGGACCGCTTGGTGGTTATAGGATGGGTTGATTGCTAGGGTCGTGACAAGTCCCAACACTGACTAAATAAAACATCACTTCAAAGTATTTACATTTCGAACCTAAGCACCTTCTATATACAGATGAAAGATGATGCTTAATTATACCTCTAAAACTAAACATAATAGGATAAATGAGTTCAAATCCAACGAAATAATGATACAATCATTCACAATTTCAAATTAAAACTGCTTTTTGGCTTTGCTTCCAACCTACTACAACCCACTGCTTGATGAACTCCTGTAGCTATCACATCCAGAATTACCAGTCGTAGGGCAGCTCAGATTTTCCTGGGAGAAGAGAAGCATCCATTATACCGTGAAAACACGTGGATACTATATAGTCATGCCCACCTAAACTACCTTGATAGAACAATCAGAACTTCTCACGAACAATCCTTAAATAGTTTATACTGAACAAACACAGCCTATCTCCAATGATAAAGATAATAAAACGTAGCATCATTAACATCCTAAATCAAGAGAAAAATATGTGTAGTGAATTGGGAGTTGTATTTTACACTCAAACAAGCTAAGTTATTGCGAACCTTAACCATAGCTTTTTGAAGCTCAGAACAAATGTAGACATCTACATGATTATGGTTTAAATAGGTATTTAGTCCCGGCTAATCCAGTTTACTTACATCCATGTAACTTACACAATTTTGTTTTTACTGCCTCAGTCTAGGTTTTTTCTGTTACTTTTTTATATGTGAATGAATAGTTCACTAAACTTAACCCCCGCTAATAGTTTCCAAAATGCAATCAAAATTGATGAGGGAAGTTTTAAGTGGAGTAAGGGAGTCAAACTTGATGGAAAAAACAGGTACCTAAACAAAAGATAACAATTAAAAGATATGTACACCTGAAATTGTAAATTGACTTACTTGAGACATAGAAACTTGGCTGTGGTTTGGTGAACGACCAGGATAATAAAAGGAGGATGGAGGGATGCTTTCATCAGCAAGTTCTCTCAATCTCTCAAGTTCAGGCATCACTACCTGCCCCAGATCTGGCCTATCTTTCCTTCTAAGCTCAGCACATTTTAAAGATAACTTGGCAAGTCTCAAAGCCTCCTCAACAGGCCAATCCGGCACAGCAGAATCAAGCATTTCAGTAAAGGTGCCCATCTCAATCGCCCTTTCAACCAGGTGAGTCAAACCCATCGGGGGTTTTGCCGTCAGTATCTGCAGAAATATGATCCCCAGGGAATACACATCGGACTTTATTCCAAGCATGCCAGTTTGCTGATACTCCGGGTCAATGTAACAGAAAGTTCCGGCAGTGGATGTCATTCGATACTGGGTAACTGTGTCGGCTACGGAAGGAGGGACCAATCTAGCCAAGCCAACATCACTGATCTTGCTCACGAAATTGCGGTCTAGCAGTATGTTGCCTGGCTTTAGATCGCGGTGGACTATCGGCTCTGGTTTGGTCTGGTGCAGAAACAATAGCCCGGTCCCAATTTCGGCTGCGATCCGAAATCTCAGTTGCCAGGAAAGTGGTGGGGTTCCTCCGGTTTGAAATAGGCGGTCCTCTAAGCTTCCGTTTGACATGTATTCGTATACCAAGCAACCGTATTCAGGACATGCTCCTAGAAGAAGAACCATATTAGGATGCCTTATGCAGCTCAGCACTTCAACCTGAAAAGTGAGCAATAAGCATAGTGTATTTGGGATCCCAAAAAAGGGTCACAAAGGAAACAATACTCTTCTATTCAACTTAATCTTACTAATTTATTCTTATTTTAATCAAGTCAAATAATAACAGGAAAAAAGTGTAGAAAGACTCGGATAAAACGGCCATATAAGAAAGGTTCAACTCATATTATATTATTATTACTACTATTATTACTGTTGTTTACTATTTATTACTACGTAATATTAAAATAATTGTTTCCATTATTATTATTGCTATCATCATCATTATAATTGATCAATATATCTCTTTCATTATTATATATATATTTAAATATACTCTTCACAAATGTATATTGTGTTTTCAAAGTTCATCCCCATTCGCCCTTCAGTTTTTAGCCCACTTGTCTGTCAAGAAGTCCAGTCCCAACGGTTCATGGTTCTTTAAACGTTGTTGTTGTATTTCAAGTTTCAGTTTAAAGGAAGAAGGTAGTCCAATTTGCAAGTGACCACACGGTTAGATCCAAAATGGTCAAGTATTCTATTTGAGGTGAAAGTTTTAGAATTACACATATTAAAAACAAAATGATAAGTTAATAAGATTGAGTTGAACATTTGAACTAGCTAAAAGATTGGATTAAATATATTATTATGGTTTGGGTCAGCTAAAAGGCCCCATTTCAATCCTAATTCTACCTGTATGTTTATACTATATGGCTTGACATTTCAAATTTCTAAATCCAATTATTATTTTTACTCTTACATGTAAGTTTATACCATGTGGTCTCACATTCAGAATTGCATATCTTTTTAAGCATTGTTGTTGGAAAACTGCAATTCTTTATTGAGGATAATTGGAAATGTAAAGGAAAGTGGGCATTAGATAGTTCAGCTTTCTTGCCTCTTGCTGAAACTGCTGTCTTCCATGAGCTGCTTCAGAGCGAAGGGCCTTAACTGCAACAGATGTGTGGTCAATATAGCATTTATATACTGGCCCATACCCACCTTCTCCAATTATGAGAGATTTTGAGAAGCAGTCAGTTGCTGCTTCAATCTCTTCGATTGTGTACCGCCTGTATCTGCAACGCGATTGTGAAATTTGGCCCATCGCTGAGTTGCTCTCATCTCCTTCGCTCAGTGCTTTCATTTCTGCACTAATTCTCTTATGAGCTTCTAATTCAGCTAACCTTTGAACTGCTTCAGCACGTTCTATGGCCACCTTTGATTTGGCCTTCTCTTTTTCTGCAAGAGCCAATGCAGCTTCCTCAGCTAATCGTGCCTCTTCTAATCTTTTTTGTTCATCCATTTTCCAGCGTTGGAGCTCCATTGCCTGCAAAAGAGGGGGGATATGTTAGAATGTGCATACAATGATTACAATGGGTGTAAAGGAAAATAGGAATTTGAACATGCCTTCTGTCTTGCACTCAGTGCTTCCTTGCATGCCGTACTATACATTTCCATTGTTTGCTTAAGCTCTTGTTTCAGCCTTCTCATTTCTGCTTCAACATCATCCTGGGTTAAATCACAAATAAAATGTCAGAATTTATTGAAATTAGTAATTTATCCCTTGGTAATGCTTTTGTTTTCACTTTTAGCTAAAAAGAAACAAAGAATTATGCTCCGCAGTCGTGCTTCTGCTTTCAGTTTATCAAAGAAAACACAGGATGTCAAAAAATTTTAAAATGGAATTTCTTGTTTCATTGTTTCTGAGAACATAATTCCCATTTTGAAACCATTTATAGAATCTTTGGAACAAAAATCAATAGATTTCATAATAGTTACTACGAGTACTATGACTACTATCATCAGAAAAGAGGAGTCTTGTCCAACCAATTCACAACTTTGTATTTTGATAAGGCATAATTTTCATGTATATTTAAAAAATTTACTTGTTGGTTTAACGAAATACTACATATATGATAGGTAACTTGTATGTGATTCATTCTTGACAATTTTTTGACTAATTACATGAAGGTGTTGTTCTGTTCAGATCAGACCAAATAAAAACATTCACATCCAGTCACAAAGATTCAGATGAGAGACTAAATAATACGTAGTATGTTATATTTAAGACAATAAAGTAGGGCAAGATTAGAAACATTGATATCATATTTCATTTTTCAAAAAGAGAGATCAAGTCCAAAAAATTAGCTTCACTTCATCAGACAGAACTCTTATTTTGGGACAAAAAAGTGTTTGAAACAAAATTATTTTTTAGGGGCTGGGGGAGTAATGTAAATCACATATCCAAAAAACCAAAACAAATCTACCCTATATGATTTATATTGAAAAATGTAAAAACATAATAAAGAAAATTATTTTAAACAGAGAGCACAAAACACACACACAAAAAAAGTGAAAGCAGAAAGACCTACCTTTTATTAGTTTATACCTTAGGTGACTATGCACTCTGTAGTATGTAAATGCATGATTCATCAATGCTTATACAAAACTAGCTAAAAGTGTGTGTGTGTGTATAGAACTTTAAATGAATGAAATTCATAAACCTAGGGAAGAGACAGATTGTTTTGAACACTTGAGTTCTAAAATGGAATGGATTGGGATATCAGTCATAAGAGTAGACCTGGTGCCTTACCATTCCCGACATAGACATTCGATCACTGTCCATTGACACAAAAGATAACTCAGAAGGTGATGACAAGTCCATTGATCTCCGGCCAAAGTTGGAGGATTCAAAACTGCTAGTTTCAAATTCTGAGAAGCCCGAAAGCCGGGGTGGGGTTGGACCATCCTCAAAGCTGTCATTGTACGAAGGGAAACAGCTATCAATACTTGCTCTACCAGAACTCACAAAGGATATGTCACTAGTTGGCCTTGAGTGTTCATATGGCTTCCCATTTCCTGCTCTCCTGCGAGTGAATGGAGACCTGTTGCAAATATTGAATTCCAATCAGGCCGTAGAATAGAAAACCTATGTTCAAATAAACCCCTTCTCAAGCATTCATTCCAAACTTACAGCCCATTTGGTAAGCGTCCTTTTTAGCAAACACTAATCTATTTCACTGATAATGAAAAGACACAAGTACAGTAGTTACATTTTTGGCAACAGTGGCTGAAATTGACACACTAACCTTTCTTTTTAGAAATTATTTAATTCAATTTAATTTATTTAAAATAATGTCAACAAGTATTTTAATAATTGAGCAATGTTAGGCAGCACTCAAGCAACTTCTGCAGAATCAGCCACTTAATCCATTTTAAGCCTTACCATACAAGCTCTTAATCCAAAACAGTGACTTACTTTATATCATTCTGTGAACTGGCAGAAGATAACTCAGATGTAAAGCTTGAATCTCCAGAAAAATCAACAGCTGCAGGAAGTCAGGAACTAATTCAGATAAACTACGCTAGGACGGAATAAAAACGATGAATCAATAAACTAACTCTTTGATGGAAACAGCGTCTCTGCTGCATTTGGTTTTGTGGTAGCCAATTGGTGACGTAGTGGATGGGTGAATGGCACTGAACGAGAAGCAGACCGGGTAGATGATATCTTTCCATTTTTGGAGATAACATACACAGTACAGAAATCAGGTACCCCTTTTAGCACATTTCCAGGGATATCTTTCATTTTAAATCTTCATGGCAACAAATGAAACTTAAATTAGAATACTTTAAAACCTGTTTCTGCATACAATTCTAAGTAACAATTCAAATTAAAATCTATTTGCTAACTAGGTACTTTTGGTGAGAATGTAAGATTATGATTATTGACTCGAAGATGATACTCACATACCAAGTTTCATAGGATTATTTCCTCTTTGGTCCCAACTCCCATGAAAACTAAGTCACTTCCCATTTCGGTCACGAACTTTTAGTTTTCGTAGTTTTGGTGAAAGACTATTAGACTTACTCGATGTTTGGTCCTTTTTGTCATTTATCCATCCAAACATCAGGGAAATCTCACACCAGATTCAGGTTATGCATTATAAGAGCATTTCAATCCTTTGACAACTAATTTTAATTTCATGATTTGAGGGACCAAAAGTGGAAAACTTTAACAGTCAAAGCACAAAAAGTGTTAAAGAGAGAGCAAAGTTAGACTGACTTGATAGTTCATTTGACAAACAATAGAAACAATTCAAGTTACATATGCACCAATAACAAACAGAAACTCATAACATTCAGATATGAGAGTTTAAGGCAATACCCAGTTTAACATCCAGAAAATCATGTCACTATCCAAATTGTATACATACCTTAGAAGACCACCTTTAGCAGCAGCACCAAGAATTAATATCTCAACCCCAACTCGATTTGTATATTCAATAATTGCTCTAGCAGGGTCTAGATCTTCTAACAAGACTTCGTGACATCGTACCTGTAAATAATTATAGTTACTAAATTGTTCTTATACGCTTTAACTTTCATTGCTCATCACAGGTTTAAACTGAAGCAGATGAATGTAAAAGAACTAACATCTTTGCGTGTGCAATAGACACGGAAAGGGAGAAATAGGTCTTTTGATTGTGGATCCATTTCTCGAAGTGTCAATCCATTCTCATCACAAATATCAGAATCCTGATTTGGTCCTGCATCAATAGCATAGTTATATACATTATCAGTATAGACAAAACTCTACATCTAAGTTTTTTGCATTTATATAAAAACAAATGTGAAAATTGGCCTTAGCTAAGAATGGTTTAGCCATTAAAGAATTGGTTTTGAAAATTATTTCTTAATGAAATTTATACGTGTTGATTTTTGACAACTCGTGAATTTGTCAAATTACTATTATCCTAAACCAATGATGCTAATTGATTGGGAAATAATTAGCACATGCACATTGTCAGACAAAGATTACTACTTTGGGTAAGATTCACATGAAGCAAGAGTATGGTCTGGTTTTTGGCAACAAGATTGTCAAGAGCCCATTTCAGAGCCATCTGGCTTCCTCTATCTTTGTCAATGGCCACAGCTACCAACTTATTTCTCTCTTTCCCTATCGGAAGATTCATTGTTGGCGTTGAGCCCCACATATCTCCTCCTATTTCACCTTTCTCATATATATCTCTGAATTCTTTCGAACCGTAATCTCACAAGACTATATGTGCTTTGAAATCAATTTCATTATTCCATCCTTGAATCTCAGTCCGAAACTCCAAAAATTAATTCTGGGTTTTTCGAATTCATTTCTCTTGCTTGAAATGTTCTTTAACAATGGAGTTAGTTTCACTGGAATTTTGATAAAAGAAAAAAGAAACTGAAAGAAAGGCATGAAAAGGAAAAGGGAAGACTTCCCTTCATCCAAAGAAGAGAAACTAACGTCATCCATCACCATTGAATTGAGCGAGCGAAGGTCCTCTTTTAGCGGCTGGGTTACTATTAATTTTGTTTTGCGGACAGAGAACAATTTTGTTCCCAGGTGAACATTTTTTATTCAATTTTTTCAAAAATTATATCGTTTATTTTTTATAATCTTTAATATGATATCAATATTGAATATGTGAAATTAAAAAAAAAACAGCTAACAAAGATTTAAGAAAAAAAATGTTTTATCCCCCGATTTTTTTATATGCAATATGGATACCATTGGGAAGATAATAAAAAAATTATTAAATTTGATACGGAGTATGTTTTTTGTGAAAATCAGATTATATACAAAAAAAGTTATAATAATTTTAAGAAGAAAGATAATTGGAGTGACAAATGGCATGCATTGCATGGAGAGGGTGATGTTCCCCCTCCTTAGAGGGGTGAACAAAATCGGACTCCCTGAATCAATAAGAGTTTATGAAATACGAAGTACTACTTCATTGCTCCCTCAAAAGTTTTGTTGATTTTAGCGAAAAGATGTTGAGGGTGTTTGGCAATTAGCTGGCTGTTAAGTATTGGCTGATTCTGTTGACTGATTGGTGGTAGTGGATTCTGTTGGCTGTTTTGATTAAGTGCTAGTATTAGCTGTTCATAGAATTGCGTTTGATTAAATGACTGTTTGCAATCAGTTGATAAATTGTAAAATGACATTAAGGACATCGATTAATTTATTTTGTCTACTAACCACTTGGAATTTTAAACGTTGTTTTTCATAATAAATATAATAAATAAATATGATTGTATTTTACTATGTAATTAATCAATGGAATAATAAGTACAAATATAAAGAAAAGTTGTGTTCTATGTTGGTGTAGCTTTTAGGTTATTGTTTTTCATAGATTTAATAAATAAATATGATTGTATTTTAGTACATAATTAATTCATGGGATAGTAAGTACAAATATAAAGAAAAATTGTGTTGTATGTTTAATGATCTTGTAGTGGCAAGAATGACGGTAAATGCATATTCAAAACATCAAAACAACAGTTTTCATTTGTTTCTGAGTTATTTATTTTAAACAGAAAAATTCATGAGAAAATTATTTTGAAGGAAGATGCATACCTTGGCAAACAAAGTTTGCCACAGGAGAGCGACATGTGGAAGACAAAGAATGTGAAAGTCAGTTACCTTGGTAGAAGAGCTTCACGACTGATTTTTTCTTCTGGGCATAGGACGTGGAAGACGAAGTGAAGCGACAAAAAGAGGGGAGCAATGTGGGTAGAATAGCAATATCACTATCGGCGTTCAAACGGCCAAGACTAAACGCCACATTTTGTGGCTTTTCTTATTTTGGCTGTTTGAGATAAAAAGCCAAATGAAATAGCTAATTAACCAAACACTTCTATTAATTAGCTGTTTATCTGGTCAAAAAGCCAAATAGTGATCAAATGAGCCAAAAAAATGGCTGATATATGCCAGATAGTGATCAAATAAGCCAAAAAATGGCTGATATATATATGCCATTAACCAAACACCCCTGTTGAGAGTAGGGCTATTGGCTTATCGGCCGATGGATGACACAGATTCTGTAGTGTAAACTGCTTTAATCAATTGATAATTATTGATAGTATTAAGGGTTAGTTGATAACTTGTTAAAGGGAAAATAACTTCAAACAATATAAACTACAAGAAATGACATATACGAAGTATATTACTAATGATGTCTTCCGAGACAAAAATCTGATTCAATAATGCTTTTTGGACAAAAATATATCTAGTCACCATGTACGAGTAATTGGACAAGAGTCATTATAATGTAGATGATGAGTCATTGAGAACTAGTCACTAAATATGTCACCTTTAAAAAATAAGTAGCATTTTTTTAAATTAATATTCATGGAAAAATCCTACAAACTATCTTCAATTAACCAAGAATAATACGTATTTTAGAAATAACTTATATTAATACCAACTATTTGAATACATATCAAAAGTGATATGAAGCAATTTTTCAAATATCATTTTTTATGGTTTGATATTAGTTTTCGCTGTGTTAAATGATTGGTTTATTGTAGAAAAGTGACTTCATATTATTTTTGTCTCACATTCAAATAGTTGATATTATTAGAAATCATATTCAAAGTATGCATTGTTATTGATTTGTGGATGATAGTTGGTATTATTTAAAGTTGTTTAAATAATTATTAAACAATTTAAAATTGTTAAATTTTAAAGGTATTATTTAAATGATTGTTTACATTTAAGGATATCAATTTTTTATGAAATAATGTTATGAATACAAGTACAACTACTTAAAGCTAATTTATGATTTAAAAAAATAAAAATTTATCCTATTTTAAAATTTTCCTCAAGTATTAATTAATTTAATTAGTACTTCGTATGATGCATTCGTTCCAATCTCATTACCATCCCGTGGATTCAGTGATTCAGTCTCCTTGAGTAATCTGAACAAAAATTTGGATGATTATATATCTAGCATTACACCTGTAAATCTTTCTATTAGGTCAAAATTATTTCACCATGACTCTTACTAAAAGACTTAAACAAGCAAGAGTATTTGTACTGAACTCCCACTTTTACTTCGTTTTACAACATTCTGAACTCCAATCCTGCACTTTTTTTGCGGTGGCAAAATACGTCCACTTATTACGAAAATGACACCACATTTTTTAACCAAATATGATGCATTGTTGGCACTTTTGAAACCATCTGGTAATTAATCTCAAATCTAACGCACGAGAATTATTCCCAACTTTTACATTAAGATTTCATTTATTTGATCCTAATTATATGTATAGGGTTTGGTTTAAATAAAAACAGGGTCTAAAATGAAAAATCATTTGTACCCATTTTTAATGTTTTCACCAATATGAAAACGCCGTTTTTTCCTTTACGAACTCAATAATCTCTTCTATGTATAAATATGAAGCACACAGTTTCTTACATGAGTAATATTTAAAATTATTTCTAATTAACAAAATACGACGATAAGTAAGTAGAATAGAAGACAAAATATCATGTTTGTGTCTTACCTAAAAGGCACTAATGTAAGTTTTAAATAACTCATAATTATATTATTATTATTACAAGGAAAGAGAGGCATTATTATTCCCTTTATGAGCATCGGTCAAAAGAAAGTCAAGGTTGTAAAGGAGGGGCACCATTGTGAGATAAGACAAAAAGACAAGAACCGGCCCGAATATCCAGAGCATCATCGGAAGCGCGGCGTAGAACAGCCGATTCCCCACCGTGTTCAGCGCAAACCCCTTCTCCAGCAGCTGCGACACGTACTCCGGGCACACTATTCCGCCGTCGTCCGGCGGGCAGTTTATCAGGAAGTTCACCTGGTTCACGAACCGGATGGACAGGGAGTGGCTGACGAAGGCGAAGATGAATATGAGGAGCAGGGTGACGTATTTCAGCGCCACCATGAACTCGCCGTGGGCGCCGTACACGGCGTCGTTCAGCGGCTTCTTGACGCTGTAAGTGCTGCTTATCACGGCGGCCAGGCCGCTGGAGAGGAGGATGGAGGTGGTCGCCATCAGGGTGGACCCCATTATTGTGTTCCGGAGTGTCTGAACGGCCAATATGTTTTTCTTGTCATTATCCTGCATCCTTTCTTAATTAGCTTCATCATCATCAAAATTACATTAAATAATTTAATTAACCAGCTCTAACATTCTATATATATACAACAATATTTTTTTGTGTATATATATATACGAAAAATAATTCTCGCAACCTCAAAAAAAAAGTTTTCATCCTCCAAAAACTATTTTGAACTTTCCAAAAATGAATTTTCTGGATCCGCACCTGCTAGTAGATAATGAAGCACGACATCTAGACACACTAACTAAAATTAAAACTTGGTTATCTTTGGAGTCTTTGTGTAAGTATAGACGTAAAGTCATGGCCCCTCCCACTTTTAAAATTTTTGTAATATGTCACCACTGGAAATTATTTGGACCCCCTCAAATAAAAATTATGAAGCATTTTGGCAAGCCATGTGTCTCTAATTTTTATATTTTGTACTCACATGCGGATTAATCAGGTGCTCTAACTACTAGGTCTTTGTAGTTTAAGGAATTTTCCACTTGAAAGTTCACTTTATGGCAAAAAATTTGACATGGGCGGTATATACTTTGCGGTGAATTATCTGTAAGAAAGTGTACTTTCCGGTGGGGAAGTATGTACTCAAGTACTTAATTGTAAACACTTCTTAATTAAATGACCAAATTTACGAGCAAATGAAGTATCAAAACTAAAACCGGGCACGGAGTAAATTCATGAGACTAAAATTGCGAATTATCCTTTATATTTTGGAACTTCTATTATATCCCCCTCCCTGAAGTCTGGCTTTGCCCTGCGTAGATTGTTGATTAGTTTTATTTAGATCAATATTTGATGGGGAAGCAATTGCATACCATAATTCCACATCTCTTTTTATACCATTTCAAAATATATACTCCCTCCGTTCTCTAATACTTGGTCCTCTTTTCATTTTGGGATGTTCTCTATTAGTTGTCTCCCTTTCCACTTTTGGTATGTTTTTTCAATAAATATACTCATTTACCCTCATTCTCTTTCAAACTTTTTCCTTTACACACAACCCACTACACCTTTTATCCTACCCCTATTAGTTTCATCTTAAATCTTGTGTCAAAGCCTATACTCCCATCTATTAGAGAACGGAGGGTGTAAGTAATAAGAGTTTTATTCTCACTTCATACATAAAAATACTATGTAATCTTTTGTCAGAACAAAAATTATCAATTTCCTAGGTTGAGATTATCTATGTTAAGGCACTTGCCTTATTCAAATGGAAGACAGAGGTTAAAAAGGGTGACGTCTCATCTCTGAGGGCTTTCAGAACCGACCGAAAAGTTAGTTATCTGGGAGGAGATAAATTGATTTTTGATCATACATTAATTGGAAGAGAGTGAGATTTCATTCCATAAAGTCCTTTTTGGAGTTGAACCTCGATTCTCCCTCTTGCGGCACTCTCTTTCTACCAGGTGAGCTACGCCCCACAAAGGAGGGCAGAGGTTAAAATGTATTGAAATGAAAGATAGAGATTAAAACAAGGTATCGAGATCGTGTAAAAAAATGAA